AGGCCATCTATGAGAATCAGCGTTTGGACTGTTACTTCGTGCGAAGTAACGAATAGTTGTGGTCGTGCCTGAGTGTTGCTATTGTCGTCTTCAGGCTTTTACAAGCACATGCTGGGCAGGCCCGTGACGTGGCATGATATGGAAGCCATGGACCCTGATTACTATCGTAATCTCAAGTGGATCTTAGAGGTGGGAGTGAAGGCAGAGTTGTGAATTCAAACTTGATTACTTTAGTGCCAAGATGAGGAGATGCTGAAGGCATTGGATCTCACCTTTACTATCGAGGAGAGCGACTTCGGCAAGACTAATGTTGTTGAATTGGTGAGTTTACCCTTCGGCCGACTTGCTCATCGGTTGTGGTGGTCCTCAGATACCCAATGGCAGCAACATCCCTGTAACTTTGCAGAACAGACAGGAGTATGTTCAGAAGGTCTGCGAGCATAAGATGACGTCTGGTATTCAAGATCAGCTGCAAGCCTTCTTGGAAGGCTTCCACGAACTGGTCTGCGACTACCTTTCTGACAGTCTTTATGATGCTTCTTGTGCAGGTCCCAGCTGACCTTGTCGGAACGTTATTCGATGACAAGGAGTTGGAGCTCCTTATAGCAGGTCTTCCTACCATCGATGTCGAGGACCTCAAAAAGAATACGGAGTATGTCAATTACAGCAGTCAGGATCCGCAGATCAAATGGTTCTGGAGTGAGACAGAGCAACAGCCTCTCAATCGGCCTCATCATTCTCCTCCTTTCTTCAGAATGTTTGGAAGAGAACTTTACAGAAGATGAGATGGCATGGTTCCTTCAATTCGTGACGGGTTCCACCCAGGTAGTGGAAAGTCGATCGTCGCCGCTGCTGATTCCCGCCTGCTTAATAGGTACCTCTCGAGGGCTTCAAAGCTCTCACTGGAATGAGAGGTCCTCAGAAGTTTAGTATCCATAAAGCCCCAGGGGATAAGACGAGATTGCCTAGTGCACATACGTGCTTCAACCAACTCGACTTGCCCGACTATGACACTGAGGAGGTCCTCAAAGCGAAGTTGAAGCAGGCAGTCTGCGAGGCTCATGAAGGCTTCGGATTCGTATGAGATTTATTCTATTGAAGATTAATACTACGTCAACATCAATGCAACATAAGTCCTCCAGTCGTGTATACCCACAATAATAGTTTCGGTACTTCTCATATAAAGTCTGCCTTTAGTTATCAAGTCGTTTGACATCGAAAGCAACCCTACAGTCCATGAACTCTCCGTTTGATATTAAAAACATAACATACCGAGAAACACGCATGAAAAAGTCCTGTACCTCGTCTTCAGGGAGCGCTAGAAGTTACTTGAGACGGCGAATAAATGCTGTTAGTGGTTGCGATTATACGCTTAGTATTTAGCCTCATGTTTGTGATGGCGGAGTATTATTTCGAAAATCTCGGCGCGAGAGTGTCAGTACATCTTGAGTTATCAGAAGTGGCGTGGAATGACTCAACTCTCGAATACATCCCAAGTACCACAGGTTATCATGATGGGAGCACTATGACTGGATTAACTCAATACATCATGTATAAGTAACAGGAAGACACACCCTTCAAACGAGAACAACTTCATGATTTATCTCTCATGAGGCACTTCTGACGAATTCCTTAGTCTGAGGAGCCACGATGGACAACACGATGCTCCAACATGTTCCTACAGTCTGTGTGATCGTATCCTTGTAATAGTGATGATGTTTGTCGAAATAGCCGTCAGCGTATCTATGGTTGGGACCATCAGGGCCGTCAGCCATCCCGAGGTGCGCTATCACTTGTTTTTTAGTAGTATCGCAACCCATTGGATGTGACAAGCTTTGCCTCTACCGGCGAAATTGAGTGATTTTTTCCCTTACACAGGGTCAGGTGAAGTCATAATAGGTCTATACCAACTCAGGTCTCATGATAACCTTCGGCTAGAAGGGAGTTCTTAAGATTGAGAACGTTGCATATCAACCGATCAAGGCGAGTATTGACAACCCAAAACCGACAAGTGACAATCTCTAGAAACCACCAACCACAATAGGCTACTGCTTATCCTAAAGATGTTGCGAAAACAATTCACGTCATTGCCTCCACCACGACGAGTAAGCAGATGCCCCTCTACTGGGCGCCACCAGCTGTTGAGGCTGCCAGCTTCAACGCCTTCTCCTTGGCATCATTGAGATCTCCAACAAGGAAGAAAGCTGCCTCTGGGATATCATCACAGTCTCCTCTCAAGATAGCTGAGCAACCAAGACACATCAGGAAAAGGAACAGAAAGTATCTCTGCTCACATTGGAAGGCCGAAATGGTGTCCGCCAAGTCCACGTAACGTCCGGGAAGGCCAGTGAAGTTCTCAGCAACGAAGAAGGGCTGAAAGAAAATATGCTGTCCATGATCAATGATAGCGGTGTTACCATACCTGTGAGAGGAACTTCTGCATCTTCCTTGCACGAGACACAGTGAGTTTATCATCTTCCGAGAGCTCATCCATGCCTAGAATGGCTATGATATCCTGCAAGGACTTGTAATCTTGGAGAACCTGAACACAGTATCTCAACGACGACACAAAGAGAACTGCCATCACCTTCTGGACGGAACGAGCAACGTCATAATGCTCTTGACCGACGATCGAGGGGTCGAGCATACGACTGGTGGAGTCCAGAGGATCCACAGCAGGGTAGATACCGAGCTCAGCGATGTGACGACTCAACACCGTGTTGGCGTCGAGATGGGCGAAGGTAGTAGCAGGAGCTGGATCGGTGAGGTCATCAGCAGGGACATACACCGCCTGAGAGATACTAAGGGGGAGGAGGACAATCGGACGAAGGACCTACCTGCACGGAGGTGATAGAACCGTTCTTAGTGGTAGTGATACGCTCCTGGAGGGCACCGAGATCTGACCAGGAAGAGGAGAACGGTCACCACCGAAGTGGGAGAAGAAGTATGAGGATTACCTGTAGCCAAGGTAGGCTGATAGCCGACAGCAGAAGGGATACGACCCAGTAGGGCGGAGACCTCCGAACATGCCTGGGTGAATCTGAGGGAAGGTGATGCAAGAAGAGTGTCGGGGTAAGGACTCACCGGAAGATGTTATCAATGAAGAGCAGCACATCCTGACCCTCCTCATCACGGAAGTACTCAGCAACGGTGAGACCGGTAAGCCCAACACGGGCACGGGCTCCTGGGGGCTCATTCATCTGGCCATAGACCAAAGCAGCCTTGCTGCCTGGTGCCTTATCCTTCTTAATAACACCACCAGCAATCATCTCATGATATAAATCATTACCCTCACGAGTACGCTCACCAACACCTGATAGTGAGATGAAACCACCAAAGCAGAGGGAAGAGCTACTTACCAGCAAAGACAGAGAAACCACCATGCTTCATAGCAATGTTATTGATAAGCTCCATAATGACAACTGTCTTACCGACACCGGCACCACCAAAGAGGCCGATCTTACCACCCTTAGTGTAGGGCGCCAACAGGTCCACAACCTGTGAGAAGGACGAGGTACCAGCCCTCGGATGTCGAAGTTGGACTCACCTTGATCCCAGTATAAAGCTGTCTAGCAACAGTGTCCATCTCGGAGAAGGTGGGAGCTGGTCTATGGATGGGCCATCTGAAAGGCAGAGTCGTAGAGACGGTGTCGAGTGTTGAAGTAGTCCTTACCTAGTGTTGCACTCAATAGGTCCTAGCTCGTCAATAGGCTCACCGATGACGTTCATGATACCTAAGGGGAGCATTACCACCAGGAGCAGAAAGGAGAGAGGAAGTGCTCACGTCCGAGAGTTCCTTGGCCAACAGGGACGGAGATGGGAGCACCGGTATCAACCACCTTCTGACCACGTACCAGACCATCAGTACCATCCATGGCAATGGTACGAACCTAGAGGGGAGGTGGAGAGGCGCCAGAGGGTAGTAGCGGTACTGACCGTATTCTCTCCAAGATGCTGGGCAACCTCAAGGACCAGTCTATGCTCAAAGCCTTGGACCTCAAGGGAGTTCAATACAGGGGGCAATCGACCGGAGGCGAAGTGGACATCAACAACAGCACCGATGACCTGCAGTGAGGGGACTGGGGAGTAGAAGGGGACGAGGAAGACCTTACCTGGGAGATCTTCCCTTGGTGACCAGGCTGTGCCACCTCGGCCATATGAGCCGAAGCATTAGCATTAGCAGCAGCGGCAGCAGACGCAAAACCCGCAGTCCCTGAGATTAACGTGTCAAGGAGGGGCACTATCGAGATGATGATGAGCGTGTATTAAGTCCATACCATCCACGCTGAGGATTCTTCACCCGAGTGCGGTATGGGCAGAAGGACCCCCAACGGAGGAGTGAAGACGATCACGAGTGAGACTTACTTAAAAAGTTCATAGGCGGCCGCACCTTGACGTGCTTAACCGATCGAACGAACAGATTAGACATCCTCTCAGCAGCAACCAACAACTACGAAATTATAGTTAACGTTCACAGTGGCAATTTGTTGAGGAAATACAAGATTTCGAAATACAGCAAGATTTGTGTAATCGCGCTCGCCCGAATGGTTTCTCGACCACGATCACGTCCTGGTGGTGCTAGTATGGCTACTTCCTTGT